AAACACTCGATCTCTCGGTATAAACGATCTCTGACACACCACCTGTTGAATGCAGCTCGGGCGTGCATCCCCATGAAATGGAGAGACCCTCACCCACCTACTGTTCAGATGTGGCTCGCTAAAGTACAGGATACTTATCTGCTAGAGGACCTAACGGCCACTCTGAAAAATACGGAGGCCCGTTTCAATGCCACCTGGGGGCCATGGTTATGCTACAGAATTTCTGCCCAAAGCCTTGATCAACCTGCAGAGGTTGGCCTGATCGGGTCCTCGTCGCCCGGACTGACGTGAAGACATCGGGGGTGGCTCGGAGGGGCATAACCCCGATACGACCTTGGACGCCGCCTGGCGTCGCGGGTTCCGGCCGGGACCTTGACTCCTTTCTACCTTTTCCACTTTCTTTCCTTTTTCACTTTCACCTCGACCCTGAGACACTATCCGATGTTGGATATAGTACTTAGTCACAGAGCTTCAACGTGCAGAATGTCATCACTGAGTCTAAAGTATTGTTGAATCAACTACTGTACTGAGCTGTTTCCACGTATTCCCGATGCGATTTTTTAGACAGGATATGCTTGTGTTGACAAGGTGTAGACCGTTTCTCAACGATCCTTAAAGATTATATAGAACTGATTTTACCTTCAACCACATTGTATTGTTATATCTGATGTTTTCTTCAGCCAATAAAGAATTTGAAAAAAAAAAAATCTTACCTCTGCTCGCTCCCGTCGGAAGATCGGAAGCTTTTCGAGCGGCCGAGTAGGATGATGGGGATGGCACAAGCGCAGTAGACATCTTTGTTAAGGAGAAGACACAGTGGAGGTGAATGCACGCAGCGTGCAAGTCGGACAGACACCGTGGGACCCGAGCAGTCTGCGCTGGACCAGAGACCGGCACCACCGCTGGAGGGATTGCTGAAAGAAAGTGGAAGGAAGAAGATCGGTTTAAGAGGCATCATTTAAGGTAAATCCTTGGTAAAGTGACATTAAACCCTCAGATTTTTTAACATAAACCAATACTGTAATGTGTGCCTTACTGTAATCCATGGTTGTTTCCCTTCTCTTTGCTGCTCTTCCTTTTAAATCTGTATCTCTTCTCATGCTTGGGGAGAACTTCCCTTTGCAGCTGAGTGCCTCTTCCTGTAGTGCTGGCTCAGGTTGTGAACCTTCACACAGACACCATATATCCATTCCAGAGACAAGGCAGTCTGCTGCAAAACAGAAGTTCTGCAGAGCATGAGAAGAGAGAAGGATTTAAAAGGAAGAGCAGCAAAGAGAAGGGACACCACCATGGATTACAGTAAGGCACACATTACAGTATTGGTTTATGTTAAAAAATCTGAGGGTTTAATGTCACTTTAAAGCAGCGTAAGGGGGGGGAGGGGACATTTGTGACTTTAATATCACTTTAGTGAGTTTAGTGTCACTTTAAAGCTGGACTCCAGCTAACAGTTTGGAAGCAGTTACAGCAACAGGTTTTTCCTTTGGAAAAAAAGAGATTTACAGTGATATTAAAGTCAAAAGGTTTTTAAGCTATTTCAAATCCTGATGAAATCACTTACAATGGACGCTGCTTCTTGATGTTTAAAAGTTAGTTTCCTGCAGAATCAGCTGGTCCCCGAATCCTGCCCTGATATCCTGTTTTAGGGTGGCAATGTAGAAAGGTGCAGGTTTATCTAAAAGCCACACACTACCCATCCAGGGTCATCAAAGCCCATAAGAGGGACAGGTCCTTGCGCTATGAGAGTAACTTGTTATAAACATACATATTCTGCAAACATTGGAGCCATTTCACGGTCATCAGATTGATGCTATAAAACATTTTAGCTTGGGAACTCTGAGGCCCCAACAGCAGCATCCTCCTCCTCTCTACCAAGGAATAAATCCAGAAAGACATTCATTCTGAGCTATATCCAGCAGAGGTCACCATTTCATCTCCAATTCTCAATCACGTTCATAACGTGAAGGTTTCATTTATTTGTGGAAATAATAGGGGCAGTGAATGTGTTTCCGAGAGCAAGGTTGCCAGTCACACTTGTACAATGTACACCGATGTTGTTGTTTTTATTTTATTTGCATAAAATTAAATTAAAAAAATAATTAAAACTATAAATAAAACAAATCCCCCCACTCTACTCATGCCAGATGGCATAGGATCGGAGAAAATCATTATAATAAACGTTGCTGCCAATCAGGTGTCATTTCTTCCATGAGCCCATTGACATGAGATAACAGCCGTCCAATCCTTGTACGTTGATGTAGAGCTCTGTAGTATTTGGTCTATAAGCGGCCTTATTCTTTAGTAAGATTGAAGTGTATGCTAGCCCAAACAAGGAACTTCTCTTAGCTGCCCCATTAGAATTATTTTCTTATATCTGTTCAATAAATGCAAATAAATACCTGTAGCTTCTGTCAGACATTCAGAGCTGTCCTGTGCCCTAGGCACTCTGCAGTCTCATCTCAGGCACTATCATCACCCCTGGCCATGTTACCACTGTCAACTACAGAACACTTTCCCTCTATGCAGATAAAAAGAGGGGGAGGTTTTCTGTAGTCCTAACACACTTTCTGTCATAGGGTGGCAACACTGCTCCTCCATAGATAAACTAAATGAGTGGTGTCATCCTAGGACAGAAAGTGTCACCAGGTAAAAATAATAGGAAAACTGAAAAAAGAAAACAAATGCAGCCACTACAACTAAGAACTAGTAAGCAGCAGGAAATTTATATAAATATACACACACACACACACACACACACACACACACACACACTAATTGTCACTTTCACTTTTTTATTTGACTTTTTTCACGGTCTATAAAATAAATGAAGCTAATGAAGGTTTGATGAAAGTTTTTTTGTAACCTTCTCTGTCACCTGATCTAGTGTCCCCATTGGAAGATTGCCCATCTATTCCTGTTCTGGTGACAACCCAAAATTTGTGATTTCCTTTCACTTTCAGTGATAACGAACGGTCACCAGGACAAATAGAGGGTGAACCTTCCTAACGGGGACACATACAGCAATGAAAACATGACAGGGGTTCTAATCCCTCTCCACTCTATCCAAAACTGGACAAAGATTTGCACTGTAAGGGCCGGTTCACACTGCTGTGTTGTGCTAAAAGCATGTTAACCGCACACTGCCGCACTGCGTGCTAGGTGCACTAGTGTGTGGCTTTGCTATTCGTTGTGAATGGCACCCCAATGCACCTCCTGGTGGGTTTACCCTCTCCCTCAATGGAAGCTGCATCCTACAATAACATGCTCTAGCTTGCATGAGATTTTAATAATTGGGTTTGGACCTTCACCCATAGAACGCACTTCTCTCCTGCTTCCTCTGCCCTCCCTCTTACACATTTGTAGTCATTTCATTCCCTCGCCTAGGTGAGGATGATGTAATCCCCCCACTCCACCTCTGATTTCTCCATGTCACACACACAGGAGGTAATGGGATGACATATTGTGCAATTTAAATGCTGCACATGCGCAGAGATGGTGCAACGCTCTGACGGGTCGGAGCCCTGCGGCATGTCTGTACATGTACAGGATTACTCACGCAACCATAGACATGCTGCACATTTTTATTGAACATGTGAAGTGACTGCGAATGTGCGGCGTAAGGGCTTGTTCACACCAGCAGCCAGCTTGTGTGCATTTTTTTCAAACTTTATTGAAATGTTACAAGTGACAGTTCATTAAGTTCTATGGGCTCACTGTGGTGCAATGCGGTTGTACCGTGTCTTACTCTGGTGGAGGGTGGCACTGCATGGCGTACTTTTTTTTAGTCGTAGAACTGTGCCCACCCTTTACAGGGCAAATTGCTCTGCCCGAACATATATGAATGAGCTCAGGAAGAGGACTTTTAAAGATAGCGGTGCAGGAGCAGACCAGCGCCAGGAGAACCATAACTGCAAGGAAGACAACACTAGACTCCATAGTCTTGTAAGAATGTGTTACTATGTATTTGTATACAGGGACATTTCTTAGAAAGAGGAAATAGAATTGTAGTCAGGGAGGGTGAAGTTCTTAAAGGGGATCATTTATAAAAGCGATGGCCTTGGCACAGCAGTGGCGCCCCTAGATGGCGCTGATGAGTATAGGAATTTCATATATGGGTCAGCGCCATCTAGGGGTGCTAGTGTGAACTTTTAAAAAAAGTAAAGAGGGCCCCAAAGTGTTTATGAACCCCGACAATGAACAGATTTTGCTCCCTTTTGGTCTGTTAAATATACCAGAAAAAGTGTTTTGTTGCACCTGTTCAATAAGTGCAAAAAGTAACCGTTGATCCTGTCAGAAATCCAGCAAGCTCCTTTTTCTGGTGAGCTGAAAATTACACTGAAATCTCAAGCAGTGTTACTAACCCTACATGGAATACCTCTATGGCCTGCAAAACACCTCCCCCTATATTATGGGCATGAGGCAGGGGAAGGTGTTGTGTAGCGTCTAATACGACAATAAACAGACGCCATTGATTAATTACTTGGAGTGTCGGTGTCTATGTTATTCTGTGTTGTGTAGTCCTGACACACTTCCTGTCCTAGGGTGACAACACTGCTCCTTTACATAGAATACAGTAAGTGTTGTCACCCTAGGACAGGAAGCGTTACATGAAGGGAAAAAGACTGATAAGAAGAAAATGAATGCGGCCACTGCAGCTAAGGAGTGATAAGCTGCATTATGTTACATTTCTGTTCTTGGTTATAACTAAAGAACCTAAACTAATTAAAAGTATGAATTAAATGAGGATATCATAAAAAAAATTAAAAAATAAGAAAACAGAACCTCAGCAGAAGAGGGAACGACATGAAAGGACGGGAAAGGAATGCTGATTGGTGTGTAGACAGGGCATGCTGGTTCTTGTGGTTACACATCAGCCAGCTCCCACTCATCATCGGGACGATGGTCTGGGGGCGGAAGGGTTAAAGGCAGCCTGGCGCGGTCACATGACCCGATGACATCCCTATGGGGGCGGGGTTACAGTCCTCCATTATTTCTAACCACAGAGCGCTCGGCGGTGCAGGCGGTCCCCCGGGGGTGAGTATGACATCTATCATATCTGATATACGGGACATCCCCGCAATCTGCTCCTCACCCTCCTGCCATTCATGCTGCACTCACACTGAGCCAGGAGCGGCCGGTGTGTGTCTGCAATCATCAATGCAAGAATGTGAGCGCTGCCCCTAAATATACCAGTCCAGGTTATAGAGAAGAATAGAAATGTTACATTGATCGCAATTTATCAGAACTGGAGCAGATCCAATTCTGGAGCAGTTGCCCATGGCATCCAATCAGCTTCTCTCTCCAGTTCATTTCGTTAGGGCCGATTCACACCACAAACTGTGCGTTCCAGAGCGTTCCACCTCTGGAATGCACTGTATTGCATTCTGGCCGGGTTTCAAAAAAAAACCGAACATGTGGCACATCAGTGCCTGCGTTCCGCTCCAGTGCGCTCTGCAAAAATAGTGCATGCAGCCTTTTTGCAGATTGCACTGGACCGAAATGCAGACATCGATGTGCCACATGTTCTGGTGCGCGCACTGCGCGGGGCATGGCTGCTGTGCCATTGACTTTAAAGAGCTGCCACGCCCCCTCTTGCCCCTGATCGGTGGAAGATGGCTGGAATGCGACAGCGCGATGCAGAGTCTGACCGATATGGAACGCACTGTTTATGGTGTGAACCGGCCCTAACTGAATGAACTGGAGAGAGAAGCTGATTGGTGGTTCACACTTGCCACTTGTCCTTGTGTATTTGTCCTTCATATGCAGAGGAACATCTGTCAGGCTAGATCAGGGGTGGGCAAACTCTGGCCCTCCATCTGTTGTGGAACTACAAATTGCAAGAGTCTTACAGCTGCAGGCTTGATTCCCAGAGACAGAGGCATGATGAGTTTAGTAGTTGTACCACAGCTGGAGAGAGAGAGAGAGAGAGAGAGAGAGAGAGAGAGACACATGGCCAAAAATATTGGCACCCCTGCATTTCTGTCAGATAAAGCACCACTTCCCGCAGAAAATTGTTGCAATTACAAATGTTTTGGTATTCTCATGTTTATTTCTTTTGTTTGTATGACACAAAAAAGTGGAGAAAAAAAAAAACAAGCCAAATCTGACACATTCCACACACAACTCCAAAAATGGACTGGACAAAATTATTGGCACCTTCATTTAATATTTGGTAGCACAGCCCTTGGAAAAAATAACTGAAATCAATGGCTTCCTGTAACCATCAATGAGTTCTTTCCACCTCTCTACAGGAATTGTGGACCACTCTTCTTTCACCAAATGCTCCAGGTCTCTGAGATTGGAAGGGTTCCTTTTCCCAACTGCTGTTTTGAGATCTCTCCACAGGTGCTCTTTGGGATTCAGGTCTGGACCCATTGCTGGCCAGTCCAGTACTCTCCAGCGCTTTGTCTGAAACCATTTCTGGGTGCTTTTTGACCTGTGCTTTGGGTCATTGTCCTGCTGCAAGACCCATGACCTCTGACTGAGACACAACTTTAGGACACTGGGCCCTACATTGCACCCCAGAATTTTTTGGTAGTATTCAGATTTCACAATGTCATGCACACAGTCAAGACATCCAGTGCCTGAAGTAGCAAAGCCACCCCAAATCATCAATGAACCACCACCATGTCTGACTGTAGGGACTGGATTTCTTTCTTTAAAGGCCTCATTTCTTTTTCTGAAAACAGTAGAATGATGCACCAAAAAGCTGTCATTTTGTTTCATCTGTCCACAGTACATTCTCCCAAAAGGATTTTGGCTTCCTCAGGTAAGTTTTGGCTTTATGTTTCTGTGTCAGCAGTAGGGTCCTCCTGTGTCTCCTACCACATCGTCCCATTTCATTCAGATGGCGACGTATAGTGCAAGCTGACACAGTTGTACCCTGTGCCTGAAGGTCGGCTTGAATTTGTCTGGAAGTTGATGGAGGGTCTCTATCCACCATTCCAACAATCCTTAGTCTCAATCTTTGATCAATTGTTCTCTTTCGTCCCCATCCGGGGAGATAAGCTACAGTGCCATGGGCTGTAAACTTCTTGACAATGTTGCGCACAGTGGACACAGGAACATTAAGATCTCTGGAGATAGACTTGTAACCTTCAGATTGTCCATGCTTTTCTACAAAAACTTTGAATGCAATTATTTCTTGTAATTTGGAGAAGGTGCCAAGGATTTTGTCCAGTCCATTCTTGGAGTCTTGCGTGGAATATGTCCGATTTGGCTTCTTTCCTCCACTGTTTTGTGTCATACCAATACAAAACAAAAGTAAACATGAGAATGGCCAAACATTTGTAAGTTTATACAACTTACATACATAACTGTATGTTTATATAATATATATAAAAATATACAGTCATGGCCAAACATATTGGCACCCTTGCATTTCTGTCAGATAATGCACCACTTTGCACAGAAAATGGTTGCAATTACAAATGTTTATGTTGCATTCTCAGGTTTGTTTCTTTATATAGAAATAAACACACACACACACACACACACACACACACTTCAAGTCCCAGCATGCTCTGGCTACTTCTTGCCATCAACATCTGGATGAAAAACATGTTTCCATAGCAGCAGCAGATAAACATACCTGTCAACATGAAAGTTCTGGGGTTGCCATGTTTGTCCAGTGACCTGTCATATGCTGTTCTGTACTCTCACTCCTTACCTCTGCTGTTACTACTGGTGGTGAAATGGTGTCTGCAGATGGTAGGTTGAAGCTCACCACATACAAGTTCTGTACAATCAGCAATGTCATATGAGGACTTACCCTATCTATACAGTCAGTTCAGAGCCAAACAGGCCTTTGTGCTACATAGCTGTTGGTAGGTCTGAAGGTGAATTTGCAATCAGATTGTAACGTGTGTGGTTACCTTATGGCTTACCAGACACGTTACAATCTGAGGATACAATCTCTGCACAATCAACTTTAGATTTACCAAAACTATGTAATATGAGAGCCTACCCAATCAATCTGCATCCAGTCAGGCATCCCTTGCACTATACACTTGTTGATAGATCTCTAACAGAGATTGTACAATCAGCTTGTGACGTATGTGGTGAGCTTTAAGGTGCCCATACACCTTAAAATGACCCTTTTTAATATATTATTTAGATTTATATTATTTATATACAATTTGTCGTCTGATAATCGGACAGTTGATGGGAAGTACACGATCACAATTACTGTACAACTCGCCGAATTTGGTTGAACGGGCAGACTAGAAAACTTTCGTCGAACCAGAGGGGGGAAAACAAACAAATCGATGGATTAGTGGAGTTTTCATACAACAAAAATCGCAACATGAACACTGCACATGCGCAAACGGATGATATTTGGCCAGTTAGTGGTGCTGACTAATGATTATCAAATCCACATTGGTCTGTGCATGATGGGGCAGTCGTCCGGAAATTGAACGAGGGTGCGATGACGGGACAAATAACATGGAGTGAGAATTGTAAGGTGTATGGTCGGCTTGAAGGGAACCATTTTAATTATAGGTACAATTTTAGGATTTTGTTAGTTTTCTTTTCTTTTTCTGTCGGGACATACATGAGTTGTGAAGTGAGCGTGCCCGGTGTAAAGTGATGGATTATATGACGTCTGTTGTTTGTCACATACGTGTTCGGCAATGTGTCATCACAAGGAGGCTCGGCATTTTTCAAGGGACAGGACAATTGGAGATTGTTATAAAGTCATTACAGCTGTCAGTTTGGGGATTGTCTGCTCTACCCAGTAGGCTTTGCCAAAACATACCCAAGATTAAACTCCAATAGAGACATTGGGGGGGAATGTATCAAAACTGGAGCAGACAGAATCTGGAGCAGTTGCCAATGGCTAAAGCTAAACTGAAGGGAGAAGCTGATTGGTTACTATGGGCATTTGCTTCAGATTCTGTCCCAGTTTCTATAAATTCCCCTCAACGTATAGCAGGGGTAGGCAAACTGCGACACTCCAGCTGTTGTGGAACTACAAATCCCATGTGGCATTGGAAGATTCAGACAGCCACGGGCATGACTCCCACAGGTAGATGCATGATGGGATTTGTGGTGTCACCACAGCTGGAGGGCCAGTGTTTGCCTACCAATGTTGTATAGCAACTTAACTGCAGATGTAAAACGTCATCTGTTCTGAGAATGTATCAGTGCCAATACCGAGTATTTGAGCGAGTTTCGTATACTGGCACTTCCGGTCAGAGGAAGATTTGTCCATGTACTTGGAGTTCAAAGACAGCATGCACCATAAAGAGTTGCTCCAGATGTAGCCATGTTGGATGTACATTTGCACGGCCCTGCTATAAATGTGTGCAATGTATTGTAGTCACATTTTTTTGGGGAGGAAGGGGATTCTGGAAGTCCTGACACCCCAGCATCTGTATTATACCGTATTTTCTTATTGGTGCCAATAACACAAAGTTCTTCTTCATGTAATGGTTTCTGTCAGGTAAAGCATTGTAGCTTTTCCAAGTTGTATTGTGCTCTGTGGCGATTAGGGAAGTGAATAGGGCCAGCGGAGTTCTTCCTCCTTTCATTCATTTCTGGACAGGTGTGGTCACCATAATTGGGCACGCTATTGTAATCGTCATGACAACAGGTTATCTGTTACATTCTTGTGACATCCTGGTGATGTATCACAAGCACAAGGAAGCTGTGATCATAAACTGGTTGGTTTATTCTAGTTGTCATTACCTGAGAACAAGATAATAAAATCCTGAGGCAGTCTGTGAGATTAGGCAAGTGGATAGAGACAGGAGCAGCAACGCGAACCTCTCAAGAAAAATCTACTTATAATTTCTCTTTGCCTTAGTCCCCTCATCAATGTGGTAAAAACATTTGTAGATAAAACTTTTCCATTTACATGACATAACTTGTTTTAGCTGTTATCACCAGGTGTCTGTGCTTCTCTATGCAATTCAGGTAGATCATGACTGGTGGGAGGGGCCAGCAGGGTGCTGTATTTTCAGGAAACTATGTACAGCACCCTGAAGGCCCCTCCTGGAGCTCTCAGCCCTGATAGCAGTGGGCTGCATCCT